CTTGATGTAAATGATGTAAATGATTAATGTAAAAAGTTTCGAAATTCTGTCACAACCTCACCTGCTTAATAAACTTGGGATGTGACCAATTACATTTATAGTCTGAGGTCAAGATATCAATATAAAAATACGAAAAATGATATCAGATAAAATATACAGATATTGTAATTGTAGGGGCGGATGTAAAAAAAAAAAGACATAAAGTGTTTTAGATAACGTTTTAATAAGCACTCTATGCGAGAGGCAATACAAAAATGTACCGAGATACTGAAGAATCATCAGATAAGAATTAAAGAAATAATTATATATTTTTCCCCTAATAAAAAAATACGAAAATTATATATGATTACGGTAGGACATCTTAGCACAAAAGGAAAATGGTGATAAGCAACCAGCATCACCTAACATCAGATAAGTAATGCAAGGACTTCGACGTAAGACCCGAGGACGTAGACAACGAAGAAAATATTAGAGAGAATCGACGGCGGCTGCGGGACGGATGCCACCATGGCTCTTAGTGACGTCATTTATGGGATGGCATAAAAAATATTTAAAGCTTTATTGATACATATAAATATGTAATATATGTATATATGCACATTTGTGTGCATATATACATATACATATATGCATATACATAGACATATATGTATATATGTATATACATATATGTGTGTGTTTGTGTGTATGTTTGTATATTTATATTTGTGTATATATATTATATGCATATATATATGTATATATATATATATATATATATATATATATATATATATATATATATATATATATATATATATATATATATATATATATATATATATACACACACATATATGCATATATTTATACATACATATCTATATACATACAGTATGTATGTAAGTATGCAAGTATATATGTATGAGAACATGTTGTCAATGGCAGTAGTAGTAGTATCATTATTGTCATATTTTTTATCCGTTTTCACTGTTGCTAGCATTACGGTTTTTTTTTTTTTTTTTTTTTTTGGGGGGGGTTATTCTTTGGTATTATCATTACCATAGTTATGAGATTATCATCGTATGTGCCTTTGCATTTACCTGTGAGCCTACCTATATGCATACAAATTTACACCCAAACTGTATACGCATGTGTTTACATTTGATACTTACACCACTTTCCCTTGGGTACACATAAAAAAACGTGAAAATAACATAGAATCTACAAAAGTGAAACGTTTTTACCTGCCGACACCTGTAACGACGATCTGCTGGCAGGTGTTTCACTGATTACCGCTCATTAACGGATTATAGGAAAAAATGTTCGGAGCCGTCGTGCCCTCCAAAGTAGCCAATTAAATCATTTTGTTACGTTAATTTGTGTCGTAAAATTTATGAATTTCTTTTACTTGCTTTTCTCCTTATTTTTATTTCTCTCTCCCACTTGTTTTCTCATTATATATATATATATATATATATATATATATATATATATATATATATATATATATATATATATATATATTATATATGTGTGTGTGTGTGTGTGTGTGTGTGTGTGTGTGTGTGTGTGTGTGTGTGTGTGTGTGTGTGTGTGTGTGTGTGTGTGTGTGTGTGTGTGTGTGTGTGTGTGTGCGTACGTGCGTGTGTATTGTCTCTCTCTCTCTCTCTCTCTCTCACACACACACACACACACACACACACACACACACACACACACACACACACTTATATATATATATATATATTTATTTTTAAATGTGTGTATATATGCGTGTATGTGTGTAAATCAATAACCTTTACTATAAACATGAAAAACAAACGTGAGACGGGATCGAGACAGCCCCCCCCCATTCCACTAGTATCTTTCTGCTAATCTACTTCTACATAAATCAATCGACCCCTTCTTTTCAACCCTCTCCATTTTTCCTTCCTTCCTTACACTTACCTCTGAGAGATAATTCCATTCTCTCCTTTGACTTCCCGCTTCTGTCTCCACGACCCAAAAGTAAACGATAAATAAATAAATATTTACCCACAACAATGCAGACGAAATGGAGTGCTGTTTTCTCCACAAATTTAGATGATAAATATAAAGGAACGCTTCTGTCTTAATTGTCACAAGTTAATACACAGGAATTCCGTAACTATATTAACTAATTAACATTACAACATTCAATTTTCGGGTAAAACAAGATTTCTAGCACCCAGTACTTACATACCTGTGTTTGGGGAGAAGCAGCAATTCGGTTTGACGAAAAAACGTTAAAACCTACTTATTACTTTCTCCTCATTAAATTTTTAAATTTTAGCAAACGAACTATTTATAGATTACTATTATTATTTACTCTATTTGTTATAACACTAAACTTTGCTATATTGATATGACCAAAAAAAAGTCGAATCAATATCGATCGCGAAACAAATAAATAAATATATATATCTATATATATATATATATATATATATATATATATATATATATATATATATATTATAATATACATATAAATACATGCATGTATACATATACATGTGTGCATATATATACATTTATATACACATATACATATACATATATACATACATGCAGACAAAAAAACGCCATCAGTTGCCAGGACAAAGATTCCTGCCGAGACTTTGGCCAAACGGCATGTTTGCTGAAGGCATATTTACGTGAGGGATGTGATCCTCGCAACCGGTGGAAGGCATAGATGGTTATGCAACTGAGTAGAACATCTCAGAACATATTAGTAAAATCAATGAAACAAACGATGATCTAAATGATGTCAGTGGATGAATTCGTCTTCCTGGTACGAATCTTGGGGGCAGTTTGCACGAAAGAAAGAAACACCCTTTTCAGTATTATAACTTAGGACTTAGCAAGTAAGAGAAACGTCGTTGTTATAGTGCTGCAATTGTTAGATCGTATTTTAGCTATAAGAGACAAATTGGCAGTGCATGGAGAGGCTATTGGCAGAGAGTGGGGACAGAGAGTTAATTGCGTATTCTGCGACTAGAAAGAAATCACACTGATAGACAACCTTATTTTGCTAACACAGGTACACCAGTTTAAGAATTGGTGTCTACCAAAGTATCCATTAGCGTCGTGGAGACCTGCTGGAAACAGAATCACCACAAGCATGGAAAGCCACTCCAAGCAAAATGAAGAAAGGCAAATGCAAGTGTTCAGGACTTTGGATCATGAACAAAAACAAACCAACACCGCCCTCCTGCTGTCACTCGGCAGGCATGTTGCTCCCACCCCACCCAAGCCAGTCGCCCCCTCGAGCGCTTGGTTCATTCCTCCATTAAAGTCGCACGCAATTCCTCATGCCACAATTATCAAACACTTAGGGCCATGCCACATAGGATAATTGGGTAATTGATAATAATTGTCAATGACATCTCTTTGAACGTAAGAATCTATTAAGCATGTGACACTAATGGCTTCAGATCAAATAAATCAGGACAAGGCACTCGACAAGGACACTGACACTTCCGTCATAACCCCTGATATTGTAGTTGTGTTCGAACGCGTGAGGCACCGTGGACTTGCCGTCTAAATGAGGAGCTTTGGCATTAGTGAAGCACAAACCATCCCCCTCACGAACAAATGACAATTGATCCCATTAACCAAAACCTGGACACATTATCCAGGTATTGCCTCTGGTAAGTCCCTCTTGCACCTGACAAGATGCCTCTATTGATAATAATTTAGGGTTTGCTATGGCAGGTTCTTGTGACTTCAGTTAAATAACGGCTGTCTGTTTATCTCATGTCTAGATTTGGTGTGCAAGGAACGACCAGAGTTGCCATCCTCTTGCAGTGCGGTGCATTGCTACCACTGCCCCACACAGCATTGCATCCTTCATATCAATCTCGAAGGGCAAAGTAAGAAATTGAGATGCTTGGTGTTAATATCAACAAGAACCTGACTGCATCTAAGTTTTTTATGTGTTTAGCTTCTTTTATCTGAACACCAGTGGATGTGAGACACACTATAAGCCAGAGGTGAGACCCGCCATGGAGTCTGCCTTATATGATCGCCATGTCCTCCATCGAATCTGAACCTTATGGACATAGTCAAAGATAGAGCAAAACGACTGATTCAGACGAGACAGATGCCAGAGCAACATGCAACACCCCAGCCACTGCAACAACGTCGGGATTCTTCTGCGTTGTGCGGGATGCATGATGTTCACAAGCAACAACTCCTCACCTGGCGCGCCACTGGTCCTCCCAAACCCCCACATGAGCCCTGCAGTACCAAGACTGGTCAAAAGCGAGGAAGTATACCTAAAGTGTGAAAAAACTTTTTGTCAAGGTTAATGGGGAACTTAAAGAGAGAGAGAGAGAGAGAGATAGAGCGAGGGAAAGACAAAGAAAATGAGTTAGAGAGAGTCAAAAGAGAAATAGAATCAGGTGTCTTATGCAATATATATCTATTCAAACGTGCTACTGTACTTCTATCAACATACCTGGTACACATCGCTCACCCTAACCATACCTTAAGTGAGCTTTAGCCTTTATTTTAGAGTAAAGATGAAAATGAAAGTCATCTCATTTTATATGTTTTATTAAATAAATTACATCAGTAATCACATGGTTATTCTTTCTTCCTTCGTATGGTTAATCAACTGAAAAATCAATAAATCTTCAAAAACAAGGTTCGTACACACTTTAGATGAACATCATCTATAATGCCATTCAAACCACGGAAAAAAATAGATGGCGAACCACTATTTCTTTGATTCATAAACACGTGCTTTCATACAGAAACCAAAGGAAGAATGGAAACAATATGTACCTTTCTGTTGGACTATCTGTGAACCAAATCTCACTGAGAACGCAGGAAATTCAAAATATACAGCAAAGATCCAAAATTAGATCTATCCACAATAGAACCAAGCAAAAGACTGCCCCCCCCCCCATTAGTGTCTTTGACTAGTCTGTCTCCTGGGATGAAAATTCAAGGCTACCTAATTATGCCTAATTATTAAATAATTATTCCTAATTATTTACACCAATTTACACCAACACTTTCTCGGGCAAATGTTTTACGTTTTCCGCCTAAAGTGGAGGTTTCTGAATTTATCGACTTCGACCGTCTTCATTAGTCAAATTTCTGTCTTGATCTTGTTCTCCGCAGGATCTTTAAGACTAGATTGCTTTTATTGGTAAATAATGGCATTTAAAATTGCGTAAGTATATCTTGTTTGTTGTTTACGATATGGCTCTTTTACATAATTACATAGGCATAATCTGTTCTTGTTGAATAAACAAGTCTCTTCGATAAGTCCACGTCTGCTTCTTTGCCAGGCTGATGCAGAGAAGTAAAGTTTGACGGGATAAGTTCTATAAATGATCAGGCCTTTAGATATGAAAGCTGAAAATGACCTAATTGCAAATCCAGAGCTGTGGATTAGCTTAATATATATCTTATCAAGTTAAGAATGCATACCCAAAATTGCCCTATTGATATCCTCTTAAGAAATCAAATCAAAAGATTCCTTACTGCATATCCTACAACCACTGAAATCAAAACTAAAAAGATTTTTTTACCAGTATAAAAAGTTAAGATTTCCCTTGATGCATGCCCTGAATATTTAGACATACAAATCTTAAAATATCCCATCAATATCCACCTTAGGAATCAAGAATAAGGATTCCCCTATTGCACATCCTACCAGTTTAAGAACACAACGCCAAAAATGTCCTAAAATCTTAGGGGAAACAGACCTTAAGAATTCCCCTACTGCTCATCCTACCACCTTGGTAATCAAAACAAAAATCTCCTTTCCCATATCCAATGTTTATCCTATCCACCTAACACTCACTTTGCCTTCAGGTACAGGCAGCACGTGCAGTCCTTCCCCGGGCACAGCTCAGGCACGGAACCCAGGAAGGAGGGGCACACCCGGGAGCACCTGCCACCTACCCTGAGGCACTCCCCTTGGGCACACGGGGACGGGTCTGCAAAGGAAGGGGTACGAGTTGGATGTGGAGATGCACTGGGTACGAAAGGATGGCCTTCAGATTGTCTTTGATGTGCATGTTTATGTATGAGGTTCATGTTTTGGTGGCCGGAATAATAATTTACTTTTGAAAATGTGTAGGTGAGTATGTACTGCGCAGTATTTTCACTTACACATATGTGCGATATTTTCTGTGACATGAATTATAGTATATGTTACACGTAACTCTCTTCCATTTCATCTGCACACGCACATGTGCTCGAGTGTGTGCGTGTGCGTGTGTGTGTGTGTGTGCGTGTGCGTGTGCGTGTGCGTGTGCGTGTGCGTGTGCGTGTGCGTGTGCGTGTGCGTGTGCGTGTGCGTGTGCGTGTGTGTGTGTGTGTGTGTTGTAACTTCATCCAGGCAACTTACCGCTGACGCAGCAGACGCAGTTTCCCTTCCCGCATATACCCTTCAAAGCCACTTCTCCGTCTGAGCAGGAATTACTGCAGTATCCGGAATGTTCCAAACACTTCGGCGTCTTCCACCCACAAGGTTTATCTGGAGAGAAGTTGAGATACGTGTAACATGTATCAGATGGTATCATCGGTGTGGCATGGCGGTGTCCATGGATAGACGACATTCCTGCTCTCATCATAGTTACTTTTAATATTATGATAATCACTGCTATCACTATAATCACCATTACTATCACCATCATAAACAGTAATGATAGTAATACCCGACCTGCTAATAACAGCAGTAGTTATTACCATGTTTAGTGGATATATGCTGTGCAGAGCCAGTCTTAGCTTGACGGATGCCTCATGGGTACCCAACAATGATGCCACTTCGGCCATTAAAGTACTTACCTGGACTCTCTGTGTAATTGTACTTAGTTTTCTTTACGTTATAAAGTGAGCCACATCTAATGCGGTGTTGTTTTAAGCTCTTAGAATTTTATACACGTTCAGCAAATAATTGTAGTTATTATTAATCAAATTTCAGTTTTATTGCGTTTGCCAGAGAGGTAACTGCATCTAGCTTCTAGTTTAAGGTGTCTAAGAAAATATTAATTTAAGAAGAAATATTACGTATACTCTATTATTTAGTAAATTGAACTGAACAATATATCTTTTTTATTAACAACACAGATGTTTCAGCTTTTTCGCAGAAATCGATTATACATAATTGCCTTTTCCTATAAAATGCTTCACAAGAAAATATGAATAAAATATAAAAAGCGAGATCCACTTGTGCAGCTGTCATACCGCACGATTAGGTAATGCTTCGGAATAATTTTGCAATATATTTTTCATGTCTTGATCGACTTTTAAATGATAATTATTGCTTATACATATGTGCGTCCGTTCGCTTATGAGCATTATATAACACCACTTACAGCGAATGCAGCAACAAACATACCGTGAATACAAAGATTTCGGAGACAAACCAGAACCCAGAACGCTGCCTGTCCAACCCCCACCTGGGACGCAGCAGACGCAGCTCCTATCACACCAAGCGCTGTATGCAGTGCCCTCGCAGTGTGCCTTGCTGGGGACGCAGAGACCTCCTCTCGACGCACACTTCCTTTTCGCGCGACACCCACAGCAGACGCACCCGGCCTCGCATCGATGTATTTCCAGTTCGGTAGAATCGCACTTGGATTTGCAGGAGCCGTCGTAGAGCTTTCTGCACGTCCTGTTGTACTGGGCTCTGCAACCTGTCCAGAGGAGAGGCGGTTTCCTTGGGTCAGACTTCGCAAATCGGCCGCTTTTGGTTTGTGTACGTGTGGTCTGTGGTACGATTGTACTGCCGTATGTTTAGGAATGTATAGATGGACTGGAGTTTTTTTTTATCTCTAACATTATTTTTTTACGTATTGATTTTTTTTTATTTTGATTGTTTAGTGTGTTATCATCATACCATGTCGATTTTTAAAAAACTAATATCACGTAAACAATATACGTTTCCTTTGCATTATCACAGGAACGAAATATTTAATAGTAAGATACCATTACATTTTACCCATCCCTGCCCGCATCAGTACTTCCCCGTTCAACGACATACTTACTAATGCAGCAGCCACAGCCAGGGCAGGCCGTCAGATCCACAAAGTCACAGACTCTTAAACCCTTCAGATCAAGAATCTGACAAGCACCGCCCAGTTTCTTGCACTTCCAGGACGTCGAACTGCACTTGCGGGCTGAGAATACGATACGAAGGTGGTTTTTCATTTCTGTTTTATTGTGGACATGATTTATTTCAGTTGCTATTGGCCTTAATTTATTTAGGCAAGCTTGTATGTGGAAAAAGTGGAAATGGACAAAGGAAAATAAATATTTGCAGGGAAGTGCTTCGCTAATGGAAAAAATAATACATTTAAAAAGAGAAAAACACTATCTACATCATAAGCAAACGACCTTTTCCTAAATGCCAAAAAAATAAAATATATACATATACATATACATTAGCAACTGTACCAACCATTCACTACATTCCACTGTTCAAAAAAAGGTATGAACGCGAATCTTCACAATACAAGAGACATTCATTCTCATCCACACCTTCTCTCCATTTGTCGCTATCACACCAACACAACCTTCCCAAATACCAAAAAGGAATAGGAATAAACAAAGGAAAATCACATATATTAGCAACTACCACCATTCACTACATTACACTGTAGAAAAAAAAGTATGAACGCGAATCTTCACAATACAAGAAACAACCATTCTCATCCACACCTTCTCTCCATTTATCGCTATCACACACACACAACCTTCCCAAATACCAAAAAGGAATAGGACTAAACAATGGAAAATCACATATATTAGCAACTGTACCAACCATCCACGGCCTCACACATCGGTCAGAGGCGCAAAACGGATCACTCACTGGAGACGCAACACGTGCAGCTGCCTGAACAACGAGAGAAGCCCCTCTCGTCGGCGTGGCACTCAGACTGGCACTCCCCGCCCATCCAGGAACAGGAAGGGACGGCCTCGCAGAACGGGAATGCTGGAATGGGAATGGAATGGGAAGAGGGATAGATGAGGATTAAGATGCGCGAGGGAGTGTAAATGATTTTTTTTTTTTTTTTAATGATAGAAAAACGGAGAAAATTATACACGCTCGCAAAACGGGAATGCTGGAATGGGAATGGGAATGGGAAGAGGGATAAATGAGGATTAAGATGCGCGAGGGGAGTCTATTTTTTTTTTTTTTTTTTTCAATGATAGAAAAACGGAGAAAATTATACACGCTCGCAAAACGGGAATGGGAATGGGAAGAGAGACAGATGAGGATTAAGATGCGCGATGGGAGTATAGATGATTTTAGAATGATAGATAAAATAATATATATATTTTTTTTTATGATAGATAAACGGAGAAAATTATACACGCTCGCAAAACGGGAATGCTGGAATGGAATGGGAAGAGGGATAGATGAGGATTAAGATGCGCGAAGGGAGTGTAATGATTTTTTTTAATGATGGAAAAACGGAGAAAATTATACACTTATACACGCTGTAATTTAAGGTGTCAGTGTTACAAGTATAAATCATAACTTTATCGTTCTTATTATTGTCTTTATTATTGCCGTTAAATGTTTAGCGTCATCATGATCATCGTCACTCTGTCTAATGAATGGTGGCATTATTTACTTGACTTACATTATTTACATTATTTATTATTTACCACTTACTTACCACTTATTATTTACCACTTACATTATTTACCACTTACATTATTTACCACTTTATTTACCACTTACTTACCACACATTATTTACCACTTACATTATTTACCACTTACATTATTTACCACTTATTATTTACACTACATTATTTACATTATTTACCACTTACATTATTTACCACCACTTTTACATTATTTACCACTTACATTATTTACCACTTACTTACACTTACATTTTACCACTTACATTATTACCACTTACATTATTTACCACTTACATTATTTACCACTTACATTATTTACCACTTACATTATTTACCACTTACACTATTTACCACTTACAGCAACATTCACTGTACCAACTGTGATTTATAGAAAGTAAATTTACGAAAGGATATCCAAAGTCAGAGTAATTTTACCCCCTTATTTTTGAGGGCGGGGGGGGGGGGGAGGGGCAAAATACTCACGCGTTGTTGATGTAGAAATTGTGGTTGATGTAGATGTAGTGATTGATGTCGATGTAGTAGAAATAGAAGTAGTAGTAGACGAAGTGATTATGGTACTGGATGTAGTTGAAGTGGTAGATAAAAGCTTGGTTGATGTAGACGTAGTAGTAGAAGCCGATGTAGATGATGAAGACGTAGGAATTGTAATTGTTGTAGATGGCGTGGTAGAAGTAGATGTTGTGCTAACTCGAGGTGTTGTCGTAGTGGTTGGCGAAGTGAGCGTGGCTGTGGCGGTTGAAGTGAGGGTCGTAGAAGTAGATTTTGTGGTAGACGTAGATATGGTTCCGAGTAAGTTGGAAAGCACAGGCTTGGGTTGATCGGTGGCTGCTGTGGTAGAGGAAATTGTGGTGGGGGCTGTAGCTGTGGTAGATGATGTAGTAGTTGTAGATGTTGATTTAGTAGTTGTAGATGTTGCTGATGTTGACGTGGAAGATGTGGACGTGGTAGATGTGAATGTGGAGATTGTAGATGTGGTAGTTCTAGACGAGGCAGATGTAGATGTGGTAGATGTAGACGAGGTAGATGTGGTTGTGGTAATTGTAGATGTGGTAGATGTAATTGCACCTGTGGTAGATGTAGATGTGGTAGTTGTAGATGTGGATGTGGTGGTTATAGACGTGGTAGATGTAGTTGTAGACGTGGTAGATGTGGACGTTGTAGATGTAGATGTGGAAGTGTAGTGTTGTGATGGGGACATTGTAGATGTAGTTGTAGACGTGGTAGATGTGGACGTTGTAGATGTGGTAGTTGTAGACACAGTAGATGTAGATGTGGCAGATGTGGACGTGGTAGATGTAATTGAAGTTGTGGTAGCTGTAGACGTTGTAGATGTAGATGTGGTGGATGTTGATGTAGACTTGATAGATGTACGCATGGTAGATGTAGCCATGGTAGATGTTATATTAGATACAGAATCGGAAGGCGTAAGCATGTTAGATGCTGGCATTGTGGATCCAGCCATGGCAGACATAGGCCCAGTAGATCCACCAGCCATAGGCACAGTAGACCACCAGCCATGGCAGACATAGGTAGATCCACCAGCCATGGCAGACACAGGCACAGTAGATCCAGCCATGGCAGACGTAGGCACAGTTAGGCCATGGTAGCAGGCACAGTAGATCCAGCCATGGTAGTAGATCCAGCATGGTAGACACAGGCACAGTAGATCCAGCATGGTAGACACAGGCACAGTAGATCCAGTATGGTAGACATAGGCACAATAGATCCAGCCATGGTAGATACAGGCACATTAGATCCAGCCATGGTAGACATACATAGATCCAGCCATGGTAGGTAGATCCAGCCATGGCAGACATAGGCACAGTAGATCCAGCCATGGTAGACATAGGCACAGTAGATCCAGCCATGGTAGACACAGGCACAGTAGATCCAGCCATAGACACAGGGCCATGGTAGTAGCCATTAGGCACAGTAGATCCAGCCATGGTAGACACAGGCACAGTAGATCCAGCCATGGTAGACAGGCACAGTAGATCCAGCCATGGTAGACACAGGCACAGTAGATCCAGCCATGGTAGACACAGGCACAGTAGATCCAGCCATGGTAGACACAGGCACAGTAGATCCAGCCATGGTAGACACAGGCACAGTAGATCCAGCCATAGACACAGGCACAGTAGATCCAGCCATGGTAGACACAGGCACAGTAGATCCAGCCATGGCAGACATAGGTAGACAGCAAGACAGGCACAGTAGATCCAGCCATGGTAGACACAGGCACAGTAGATCCAGCCATGGTAGACACAGGCACAGTAGATCCACCAGCCATAGCAGACATAGGCACAGTAGATCCAGCCATGGTAGACACAGGCACAGTAGAGCCCACAGGCACAGTAGATCCAGCCATGTAGACACAGCAGTAGAATCCAGCCATAGACACAGGCACAGTAGATAGCCATAGACACAGGCACAGTGCCATGGTCACAGCCATGGTTAGATCCAGCCATGGTAGATACAGGCACATAGATCCAGCCATGGTAGACCAGGCACAGTAATCCAGCATGGTAGAACAGGCACAATAGATCCAGCCATGGTAGACACAGGACAGTAGTCCAGCCATGTAGATCACATAGATCCACATGTAGATAGCACCCAGCCATTAAGAAGCCATGTAGACATAGGCACAGTAGATCCAGCCATGGTAGAAACAGGCACAGTAGATCCAGCCATGTAGACATAGGCACAGTAGATTAGACATCACAGGCACAGTAGATCCAGCCATGGTAGACACAGGCACAGTAAGATCCAGCCATGGTAGTAGATCCAGCCATGGAGACATAGGGCATAGATCCAGCCATGGCAGACACAGGCACAGTAGATCCAGCCATGGTAGACATAGGCACAGTAGATCCAGCCATGGTAGACATAGTAGCACACAGTAGCAGCCATGGTAGACATGATCCACCAGCCATGGCAGACATAGGCACAGTAGATCCACCAGCCATGGTAGACATAGGCACAGTAGATCCAGCCATGGCACAGATCCAGAAGGCACAGTAAGATAAGATAGGCACAGTAGAACCAGCCATGGCAGACATAGGCACAGCAGGCCACAGACATAGATCCACCAGCCATGGCAGACATAGGCACAGTAGATCCAGCCATGGCAGACATAGGCACAGTAGATCCAGCCATGGTAGACATAGGCACAGCAGAGCCATATGTAGATCCACCAGCCATGGCAGACATAGATCCAGCCATGGCAGACATAGGCACAGTAGATCCAGCCATGGTAGCACAGATCCAGCCATGGTAGACACAGGCACAGTAGATCCACCAGCCATGGCAGACATAGGCACAGTAGATCCACCAGCCATGGTAGACACAGGCACAGTAATCCAGCCATAGTAGACATGGCACAGATCCACCAGCCATGGCAGACATAGGCACAGCAGATCCACCAGCCATGGCAGACACAGGCACAGCAGATCCAGACGTGATGAATGCAGACATGGCAGAGGGAGCCATGGCATATGCATGGTTCTTCTTCGTTTCCGTCACAGGCATGTTTAGAAGCCCAGCGTCTTGCCTTGACGCTACAGCTGTAGTTGTGGTGCTTAATACAGCTGTTGTGGTTGATGTCGCGACTGGTGGTTTTGTAGCCGTCGTGGTGCTAATGGTTATGGTTGTTTTGTTGTGCGTGGTTATTATCGTGCTTTTCGGAGTTGCTGGCATCGTGGTGTTAGATGGTGTGGTGGAAGAATTTGCTGATTGGGGTGAATCTGAAAGAAGGAAATTGTTTATTGATTATTGAACTTATAGAGAGAGAGTGGGTGAGAGAGAGAGAGAGAGAGAGAGAGAGAGAGAGAGAGGAGAGGGGAGAGAGGGGAGAGAGAGAGAGAGGGTGGAGGGAGAGGAGGGAGGGAGGGAGGGAGGGAGGGAGGGGGAGAGAGAGAGAGAGAGAGAGAGAGAGAGAGAGAGAGAGAGAGAGAGAGAGAGAGAGAGAGAGAGAGAGAGAGAGAGAGAGAGAGAGAGAGAAATAGACTGATAGATAGATATTCATAATGATATAGGTCTGATCACCGTTATCAGTGTAAGTGGAACATACAATCCCTATCTCACTTTATATTGGTCTCTCTCTCTCTCTGTCTCTCTTGCTCTATCTATCTATCAATTCATCTATTTATATGTAGATGTGTGTGTGTGTGTGTGTGTGTGTGTGTGTGTGTGTGTGTGTGTGTGTGGTGAGTGTGTGTGTGTGTGTGTGTGTGTGTGTGTGTGTGTGTGTGTGTGTGTGTGTGTGTGTGTGTGTGCATCTCTACACCAATGCAGTTCTATTTGTACACTTTGAAATATATGTGAAAACTTCCTCGACATACTGGCAATCACTTCTGATTTACATAAAAAAATGTGACTTGTGTTGGCAGTAAAAAATCCAACGCCATGGGGATATATACTGACCTATTACCTAGAAGTAATTTGAAGAGAAATACTCTTGACAAATGTGGAAAGTTGTAAATGCGAATGAATTTTTCACCCTCACAACACCAGATGTGTAATTACACATTTCACATGGTAAGGATGTACCTTCTTATCAACTGTATTTTTTTTCTAATAATAATAATAATGGTAATAATAATAATAATGATAGTAATAATAATAATAATAAAACTACGACCCAGCGGACACAGAAGAGGAAGCTTGACTCGAGGACAGCGCTGATCCCAACGCCTCCAAGAAAACACGACTGCTTGCTGCCTTGAGCTTCTCTAGCCGAATGTAAACAAACCAACATCGCGACGCAATCCGGCCACCGAGGTAAGCATTCGGTAAAGGTGAATCCGTTGAGACAGCTCTGAACAGCTGAAACAGGCCGGGCCACATATATGCCAGCCTTGGGAGATGTAGTCCTCGCTAATCTGACTGAACTAAACCGTGAAACGATGAGTATGTGTTTTTGTTTTTCTCTCTCTTTCTTTCTTTTGTCTGACATTTTCTTTGATTCCGAGTCTGTTTCAAGTGATTTCCTTAGTTTCATGAAATTCAAAACAAGGACGAGGAATAGGTTACGTTGAAGTCGCCCAACTATTGTCTATTGTCAAAACTATATGTCCGAATGCTCCAACGTTTTGGAAAAGTCTTCGTAACAAGTAAATGACTAGTAGAAGGTTGTTTACATATCCAAGGGATACCCCCCTTCTACATCACGTTTTCTATTCTTTAATATTACTCCTAAATTCATATTGACTAACATAAGTACACACTCCACGTGAGAGAGTATAGCCCATGTGAATCCCAAAATCCCAAACCACGAATTCTTGCGAGTACTCCCAATATACTTTGATTTCTTGGTGTGTGTACCCCGAAGAAAAGAACTTGGGTTCGGATGTTGACTTTGATGAATTTGTGATCTCTACATGATTTATACATGGAACACTTGGAGAAAATTCTATGATGTAGGTGATAAGACAAAATTTATCATCATAATCATCATTATCATCATTGTTATTATTGTTGTTATTATCGTAACTATTTTTTGTATTTCTATAATTAATCTTATTATGAGTATTAATGTTACCATTATTTATTTATCATTAACTTCATCATGATGTAACTATTGTTGTTATTATCGTAACTATTTTTTGTATTTCTATAATTAATCTTATTATGAGTATTAATGTTACCATTATTATTATTATTATTGATTAACAACATACATCCCGTTAAAAATAGTGAAGGGATATTGCCATACTACATGTTTAGAACATACTTCAAACGAGATGAGTTATATGTGTACAAAAATAAATCAGAAATAAAGAATATTCAAAATGAAAAGCATCTCACTTCCTTCTGTGTAAATAATAATATTTAATGAAAAGCATGATCGCCATCTCAGTAACTCACATGACTACACTGACACTGGACGACCACACTGACTAATTTCCAAATAAGACGTTTTAGCAACCAAGAACACTGGACACTGACCGACACACTGACTAATTTCCAAATAAGACGTTTTAGCAACCAAGAACACTGACTCTGACACTGACCGACACACTGACTAATTTCCAAATAAGACGTTTTAGCAACCAAGAACACTGACTCTGACACTGACCGACACTGACTAATTTCCAAATAAGACGTTTTAGCAACCAAGAACACTGACTCTGACACTGACCGACACACTGACTAATTTCCAAATAAGACGTTTTTAGCAACCAAGAACACTGACTCTCCCACTGACCGACACACTGACTATTTCCAAATAAGACGTTTTAAGCAACCAAGAACACTGACTCTGACACTGACCGACACACTGACTAATTTCCAAATAAGACGTTTTAGCAACCAAGAACACTGACTCTGACACTGACCGAACACACTGACTTCCAAATAAGACGTTTTAGCAACCAAGAACACTGACTCTGACACTGACCGACACTGACTAATTTCCAAATAAGACGTTTTAGCAACCAAGACACTGAACACTGACCGACACACTGACTAATTTCCAAATAAGACGTTTTTAGCAACCAAGAAACACTGACTCTGACACTGACCGACACACTGACTAATTTCCAAATAAGACGTTTAGCAACCAAGAACACTGACTCTGACACTGACCGACACACTGACTAATTTCCAAATAAGACGTTTTAGCAACCAAGAACACTGACTCTGACACTGACCGACACACTGACTAATTTCCAAATA